TATTAGCATTACCTGTGAAAGTAGACTCAGTTTGAGGACTTCTGTCCCAGGGGGAAAAAAGTGATAGCTTCACAAATGAAGTGCTGTGAACAGGTAAGAATTGGCTCCACTGGGAGGTAAAAAGAGCCTCAGCACATGCCAAAGTAGAAATAGAAAACATGGGATTATTAAAAATTCACACTGCCACCCTTGTGTACTTGCATGAAAGTAATCAACTTGCATTACTGGAAATGAAAGAGGAAGGAAATGGATTTTCTTTCCATGTGAAAAAACAACTGAGAAGTTTTAAAGTCTTAGGAATTCAGATACCATGCAGGTATGGACTAGATAGGTTAGGCATGAATAGAATAACTGTGTATTAGTCCTTCTTCTTTTTAAAGAAATGTGAATGTTTTGAAAAGAAACATGAATGTTTAGAAGACACAGAATAACAATACTAGTTTGATTTGTTCCATTTATTCCTCTTCTGTCTCTCTTTTTTCTTCCTCTGGTGGTGGTGGTTGATGCACATCTATAAGCAAATTCTGTAGATCATCCTGTGGAGACCTTGGTATATTGAATTCATTAGAAGAAAAGAAAAAGGGCCTTCTCTTAAATCTCTTTAAATCTATTTCAGATTATGGTACTGCATTCAGAAGGTTGGGATCTGAAAATCAGAGGGATTGTTTCAGTTTCATAAATATTAGAATTCTGGCAGTTTAGCATGACCTGTAGAGTATCTGAAATCCTTCTGGTTCCAACTAATGTTATGTTATTCCCATGAGAGAGGGAAGAGCTCCAACATAAGGAAGAAAATTTTGTTGAGTGAATCCCCGGATGGCCGCATATGTCAAGTTAGTATTCTCAAAATATCAGCAAATTCCTCTAGAGAATTTGGGGATGTTGTTTGTTTTTCCCCCATCCTGCAAATATATGACTCAAAATACTACAAAGATATGGTCATTTTAGATGAAACGGCATTAGAGGTGCTGCTGTGTGGCTACTATGTCTAACAGGCCCAACTCTTTTCTTCATGGTATGAAATGTGATTTTTTTTTTCTATTTTGGCAAATTTTTAAGGTTCCTTTTTCTTTCTGTTATATTTCCTGTTGCAGGATTTCTCTTTGATAACATATGATCATTACTTTTTTTTTTTTTTTCAAAAATTTAAGTACAGCGTTGTTTGATTATGAACAAGGTGGCCAGTTTATTGTGATGGTCATCAGTCTCAATAATTACTAATCAATGCATTTGAAATACATGACTGTACTTCTTACTCATAATTACCTCAAGTATACAAATTATCAAGGTTGCTTGTTTCTGTATCAGAGAACATTTTGAAAGGAAATCTTTTCCACAGGAAAAGAGAATGACAGGTAAAATAAATGAAGTGTGTCTGCTTAGGAACAAGTGTTTTATGCATAATTATTTCATGCCTTGCAAATTAACTACATCATATGTGCCTGGGAATTACAGAAAACTGAAGTAATGTACCTAGGGCATATTGGAATTTACTATGTAATTATATTTCTTGTTGCATTTTGTATTTTTCAAACAGCTTGCAACATGAGAATCCAGCAAAGTGGTGCCAGTGCTGGTATTCTCTATTACTGCTTTTGGCATATGTGTATTTCCCAGAAGTCAAATAAATATTCTGTTTATTTATCCTTTTTCTAGTATCTCTGTAGGTATGCAAACTATGGCTAGGATAATGATTCAGCAATGTAGCTTAAAACCCCCAGGAAGAGGCCAGAAGGGTCTGTTTGGCTTGTAACAAAGTGAAATGTTAAAAACAAAGGAGTTTCTAAGAAGGTTCCAAAAAAAAGCAGTGTTCTACTTTTTTGTGTTAAAGTGCTAATTAAAAGTGATAGAACATTTTGTATTTTACTTTATGAAGCTTTATTTGAACTGCTGTGGTGGAGCTGCTTGCCACTTGGTGCCTTTCAGTAGCTGCCTTCTGTCCAGGCTCTGTGGGCTGCTTTGCTTCATGAGCCAGCCTTGGCAGGGTTTCCTGCCATGAGCAAGACCCTGCTCCACTCACTCACAATGCCTGGATACCATGAGTTGCTAGAATTGCTCTTGGTTTCTTCACTGTTGCTGTTGTTCCCATCACCCTTCTAAGCAAAATGTACCTAAGACAGAAAATGGAAACAAACTGGTTCTGACATTCATCACAGCTATCAATTTCATAATGAGAAGCTGGTGTATTTCTAAACAGATGAGGATATAGAAACAGGAATACAATTTGAAAATAAGATTCTAAAAAGTCTCTGTGTAAATGCTCACTTTGTCTAACCTGTAGCAGTAAAATTTGGTTTGTCTGTCACCTGTGTAGACAGGAAACTTACAAATATTCAGGTTTGAAAATGATGGAACAAATAATTGTTTTATTTCTTAAAGACCCAGCACTTACAAAAATGCTTTTGACAAGCAGCTTTCCTGCAAAGGAATATTATGTTGGTGCTCTTTGCAGTATTTATTGCAAAGGCTGGATTGATATTTCCGTTTCAAAACTTTCTTGCAGTTCTTTCGATAAAAATCCACTCCATAATGAAACATGGAACATCTGATCTCATCTCTTGACCAGTGGTTGTTTCTACCAGCTTTCCACAAAATTGACTGAGCTTACGTTTTTATATTTTACAAAGGTTAAAAAAGGTGTGGAGGGGAGGGAGGGGAGCAGTAAGAATGTAGTTGATGGAAACAGTTTGTATTGCAATTGTAGGATCAAAACAATGTGCTCTTGGCATCATCTGTAGGCCAGTTGTGCTGTAGTGGAATTCATTACTGTTCTTAGGGCATGAAGTTTTACACATTGTCCCATCTGTAGGAAAATATTTCAACAGATTCATAAATCTTTATCATAAGACAGTAACAACTGAAAATTGTAACAAAGTAAAATAATGTAAGATGATATAGTGCATCATTTTTTAAAATAATTTCAGATTACAGGGAGGAAAAAAATCACCACTTCCAAATTATGGAGTGCTGAAAGGCTTTTTCGTTTTGGTATGTTTGTTTGTTTGGTTTGTTTTTCCATTTTTTCTGCTGTTGCCAAATTATATAAACAGGTGTGGTGGTGATCAAACCATTTGGAAACACTTCAATCTTTTTATTTTTTGGGGGGGGAAGGTCAGTAATATGAAATAAGCTACAATTCTTATGTCTGCTCATTTGCATCCGATTAGAATTGACAAGCTGAGGAAGGAATTCTGAGTCCCCATCTTCTTGGCAAAGATAGCAACAGCTTCACTGTTGTGAGGAGTTTTGGCTGCTAAAGCCACAATGATCAGCTTTGCTGCTGTTTGGGGTTGGTAGATGCTTGCTTTATGTGCTTTTTTGTTTTCCTGAACTTGTTTTTCTCAGCTGTTCTGTCACTTTGCATTTTGTGGCTTCTGGTTTGCTTGCTTTTTTCCTTTAAGGTTTCTCCTCTTTTTATCATTATATAGACTTGATATTATAAACTAAATAAATTGTGGGGTTTTTTTTCTTGTCGTGGCTGGCCATATGACCTCTCAGTTCTGTTTGGAATGTGTCCATTACACACAACCTCAGACCCTTGGATGTGCCTTGAAGAAGTTCATGGCATGCCTTTATGTTAGGTATGATTAAGGTGCCACCTTTCAGTCCTCAGACCCTGCAAAGAAGCAGCTGAGCTTTAGCTGGCCTACCCTGAAATAATCAGCAAATTCAGCTGAAATTTTCTGGTGAGAACAAAACTAAATGGCAGCATTAGAAGAAGATGAATTCAAGTGACACTTTTGCTGAATCTTCACTGTATCTTCTTTTGGTGTAAATCTACCTAGATCAACTTGGACAGCAATTGAGCAGAAACATCTAGATTTAATAGCAAGAGAACCACAGTAAAACTATTTATTTTTATCATTAGAAGAGGTATACTAGACAAATCTAAGAGTCTTTGGAGAATTTAGAAAGAGGTGAGAAAGAACAGCATTAGGGACTTGAACACCTTTGTTCTTCTCTCAAATGCAGGTGTAACTGTCTTGATAAATATTATAGTCCCATTTTATTTTTGACTTTCAGAATTTTGCTGTAAAAACAGAATTACTGAAGTTTCACACACTTTCAGGCTAGACATTTCAATCTAGAGGTATACAGCTAAAGTTCCTGAGTTACAGAGGCTTTTTAATTGTTTTCTTAGGAGAATTACAGTGTTTGCTCACTTACGATATTAGCATTTCTATGCTGTGGAAAGGCTTGGATAATATATGCAGATTCCTGAAGCAACTTTACTGCAGAAAAATAGAATGTTGGGGAATGTTTCATCAGTTTTTCAATAGGAAATGGAGGTTAATGTGAGTATAGGTTATAAAATACTTTCAATTTTAAAACACTAACTCTAAAGCAACATTTTGAATTTAAGTGAATCTACATGCTCCTTCTCCCTCATTGCTTCCATGCAAACAGAAGAGATCGAATTTTTATTCATAACCCTAAATAGAAAGCCACTATGTTCAATAACCTCAAAATGTTAAATGTACTACATATGCATGTGTAAGTAGAACTTTGTCTCTTAGTATTAAGAAATAATTATTTACAGAATTTGAGAAATCCGATAGTCCAGTTCAATATTAGTAGTAATGAACATGAGAAAAATCTGTAGACAAACTATACAGGGTTAGACATAGGATTCCCAACATCTGTAAGTATGTGAAAAACAGGCTGGTTTTGGGAAGGTTTTATTTTAGGCACTGAACAATCTGTGAGGGGCAGAAATCAAGGATTTTTAGAAGAAGGCCAGAGTTAACTCAAGTCCTGTAGCTTCTAGGTTTATATATGTTAAAAAACACTCAATACACCCTTCAAAATCTTGCTAAACTCTTCCACTTTATTCCACAGGGTAAACAAACTGTTCTGCATAGACAACTGTGTCCACACCTCTGTGTTTTAGGGCCTTGTTTCTCTAGGAACTTTCATGGAGCCTCTTGTACAACACCCTTCTCTTTGTCCACGTGCTGGATCCAACAGTAATGTTGATTTTTTTTGTTGTTGTTTTTCAGCTCTGAGGGACAACAGAATCGAGCTGGTGCGAGCGTCGTGGCACGAGCTGAGTATCAGTGTCAGCGACGTGTCCCTGTCGGACGAAGGGCAGTACACCTGCTCTTTGTTCACCATGCCTGTCAAAACTTCCAAGGCTTTCCTCACCGTCCTCGGTAAGCACAAACCGAGCTGAGCAGAAAGAAGCAAGTGTTAAACTCCTCAGGCTCTGGCAAATTATGATAAGAATGAACTTTTCTAAGGCTTGGCAGAAGATAAATGTAAATGTCTGATCTAGTTTCCCCTGATGTTTATTGTTTCATATTGCTGGGCTGAAAAATAACATGCCTCTTACTGTTTGCACCGTGGCAGGATAATGAGGTAGGGAGCACACAAACACCACGGAACGAGTGCTCCATAAAATGGACATAACCTCTACATCCCGAGCACCACGAGTGCACAGAAGGTGCATGTGTTCATCTCCTGACAATCTATTGCATAGGGCAAAGGGGAGAAAATCAGAAAGCATGAAATCAAAACGGGCTTTAGAGCTTTATCATTTTTCCTTAGCTGTGCATTTTTTTGGCTCATTCTGCTTTCTCTCTCTTTTTTTTTTTTTTTTTGGTCTATAAAGTGCAAATTTTCACTGGGTTTGCCGCTTCTTTTATGCTTTATCCTCTAAGTGCTCTGCTGTTTTCCCCAAAGGTTATAGAAACACATAGAAAAGCAATAGAATTCAAGAGATGCCCAGGAAATAAAGTTTCTGCTCGAAGCTTTATATGATTCTATGAATGTCAGTAGCCCAATCAGCCAAAATTGCTATAGTTCACTAAAACACACCTGCGAACCTAAGAGGCTATATGATTTTAGAGATTGATTTTTATTCTTTTTTTCCTTTTTTCTGTCCCTGAACATGACTCTTTCTTTCTTTTTGTTTTATTTTTATATGTGGATGGGCAGACAGTTGAATTTAATAGAACTAATGTAAGATATTCTCTGTGGCAGTAATATTCACATTAATCCAGCCAGGGAATTAGTTTTGTGCTTAGGATATGAAATACATCTCCCTTTCAGTCCCTGTGAGACTATTTTACAAAAATCTTCACAACTTTGCCATTAAGGACAAAAAGTACCCACTCAAAGCAAAATATTCTGGAATAGCAACTACCTATGCTTAACCTTCCTTCTGTAGAGAGGCATTTCATGATCTAAACAATTGAGGAGTACACCAGTTCGACCTTTTAAATGGCAGAAAGACATAGGAAGGTGTTACAAAGACAAGAAAACTCCCAAAATATCTAGCCAATATTTATTAATAAAAGTAGCTTTATCGTTAACAATCCTTTAAGCTTTACCTTTGTTTTGGGGGAGGGTTTGATGAAGTTTGCCCAACATCATTTACTTACCTTCCAAGAGAGAAAGCTTCACAGTTTAGGATTCCTGCCTTTTTTCATTTTGTATTTGTAATTTCCTATTACAAAGGAACATTTTAAACTATTAAAACATTTTCTGCCAGAGAAGGGGATCTTTACCACTGAAATGTATTGCATCTTTTAATCAGATAAACTATCCTTTTATGTACTAATAATCTCTTTATTGACTTGTCTGCTTTCGATTAGAAAATTTAAGTGTCAGGGTATTGTAGTAGACACCATTTTCTGTCCTGAAAGAGAGGACTAGGTTTATTAAAGAGATATACTATGCAATAGGTGATGCTGCTTTGCTTTTAGGTACATAATCTGTCACTTTGGAAAAGAGATATAGAAAAACTGAATTATTAAATGCAGGGCACAGGATCAATTACTGTGACCGAGCCCTTTATCTTGCCACAAATGTGAATGCACCAAAGCAGTGTAGCTGCAAGATATAACTGACATTTTTAGAGATATTTAAATTACTGTCATCAGTATTACTTTAAAATAAGTTATTCTTGTGTCTTCATAAGTTAAATGGATAGATACATAAAATGATCAAAACTTTCACAATTTTCTTTGTGTTTTATTTTTTGTTCTTCTTTTTCTTTGTTTGGTTTTTTGGGGTTTTTTTTGTTCATCTTCCATGGTTCAGTGAAAAGCAACAATTTTCATATTGAATATTATGTGTATGGGATGTCCAAATCATATGATCTGCTTTGAAGAACTAGTATGTAGCTGAAGAACTCTCCATAGTCGATGGAGCTGTGATTATACCTCTTGGTGTTTTGGTTTTGTTTCTCTGAAGATAAAGTGACTCCAGTATTTATTTTCACCCTCCCTTTTCCCTGGTTTTTTTTTTTAATTAAAGTCTTCATTATTCAGGTGTATATATCTGTTCTGAACTTAGGTCAGCTCAGCTTTTTGTTGCCAGTTTAATGTTTAATTTTCACAGCTGTGCTTCTAATGTGCTTTGTCATCCTGCTTGCTGTGCTGAGCAGTTTAAATATTGTAACAAATCAGACTAGGCCTGCATGCAGAATATACAAAGATAAGATATTTATTAAAAGCAATCTATTTCTCTTAGAAAATTAGCTAATTTCTGTTTTCTGTATTTACTTAGAATCAACTACCATTCAGATTGATGGATAATTTACAATAGGAAAAAGGTTTAACTGACAAGGCATGAGGAATTAATTATCCTGTTTCCAGAATTTAGAGCATATGAAGAAGTGAACTTTAAGCTGGTTGTGCATTTGTGGCAGCAGCTGACACTATCAGAGACATTTTGCTTGTTTGCTTGCTAGGTGTTCCTGAGAAGCCACAAATCACTGGATTTACCTCACCAGTTATGGAGGGAGAGAGGATGCAGCTCACTTGCAAGACATCTGGTAGTAAGCCAGCAGCTGATATCAGATGGTTCAAGAACGACAAAGAAGTTAAAGGTATTTCAAAGGATTTTGGTGTTATTTGGTCCAATTGTGAAAACTATACACTCTGTAGAATTTTATTTTTTTTTAATCCGTGTTTGTAAAGTTGCTCCTATTGGGTCATGAAATGGGTAGGGGATAGTACACAGATGAAGAATTTACTGTAGTGGTAATACAACCATCTTTTTATTGTTTTTCCAAATAGTAAAAGCTGTTGTTTTGAGTTTCTCAGAACTCTGTGCAGCATAATAAACTCAACTGTGAGGCTTCATAGAAAAATGTTTTCTGGATTTTTATCACAGTCAGACCACTCATCCCTGATATTTTTCCCTTTTCATTTTCCTTGTGCCATTCCAGCATGGGATATGTCTGACTTAGTTAATTCCCAGATTTAGGTTACATTCCCCTAAAAAATGTGACCAGGTGAGGCAGAACAGAAGAATGTGACCAGGAGGAGACAGGAGAATGCACTTCCCATAGGAGACCTATGGAGCCCTGCTCTGGTGAGGGAGAGCCAGGATGTAGCAAATGAAGGAATCTCAGCTGGGAAACTTGGAATCTTCAGCTGAGGCAAGGATGCTGACAGTCTGCAGCTAGAAGGAGGGAGAAGATGGACTTCAAAGGGGATTGGGAAAACTTCACAGGGGCTGGGGTGAGTTGGGCAAAGTCTGCTGTAACTGAAAAGCCATTGAGTGACTAAAACTAAAGCTGACAGCAAGGATTTGCCTTCAAGGATGGAGCAAGCTAGGAAAGAGCTGTATATAAAAAGCTGTTTATTTCCTTCCCATCATCTCTTTCACTTGGTATGTTCTTTGCTTAGAGCTTAGTTTTCTACTCCATATTCTTAAAAGTGCTGGAATAGTTTTAAATCCTCATTGGTGAATGAGTGGGTGAAGAGAGATTCCTGATGTAGAAGGCTGTCACAACTCCAAGCCAGCTGAGGTGCTCATTATAAAGTAGATGGATGAAAAGGATAAGGTATTGGTAGTGGTTCATGTCACCTCTATTCATTCTGCTATAAGACCAGATACATAAATTATTCAGAATCCACCTTTTCTGTGCAGCTTTAAAAGACAAAAACAAATAAACAAGAAACCACCCTTCATTTATCTGATTTGGCTAATATTTTGGATTTCATTACCTCAATAAACTGCCTCAAGCAAAGTTACAGAGTTAATTACAGAACGATATATCTTCCTTTACTACTCTACCAAGTTCAATGTGCCAAAGCAGAGCCCTGGTATAAAATTGGTGAATAAAGGAGATTGCAGATGATTGCTTAAAGAATCCTGTTCATTCTAGCGGTGTTCTAATATTTGCAATAAAAATTAGAATAGTATTGAAAGGAACAAGCATTTTAGACTGGAATAATTTGAAATGCGTAACAAGGATAGAAAATGAGTAAACAGAGAATAATTCTTTTCAGTTCTGGGAAATTTGAGGAAATTGATGAAAAAAAGGCATCATCTAATCAAATGCAAGTAAAAAGAAGAATTAAGCAGCACAGCTAACACACATGGCAGAGCATAGATTGTGTCCTTCAGAAAAGATGGTAGGATGGATATACATATTCAAGGCATGTTAAGATTGGAAATAACTTCAGGCCATGTCAATACTATAACAGAAACACTAATACAGTTGGTCTAACAGCAAGGCAACACATATTTGAAAATATGTTATTTTAAAATTTATGTTTTAAAATCTGGAGTAATACCTTTGCCTTTCCTTCAGCTGACAATAATTGAAGCCAGCAAGCAATTTGTTGATTTCACTATTTAATTTATTTTTCTCAAGGGATTTATTAAAAAAAAAACAGGATGGGGAAAAAAAGGAATATGAAAAAGAACAGTAAAAGGGAAAAAAATCCCAACAACCAGAAATAGGAGGAAAGTACTGAGCACATTCATTTCAGTTCAGTTTTCTAGGTCTTCTGAAGAGCACATTGCCATTTCTCAAAGGTTAGAAATAAAATAACCTAACCAGTCTGCAGTGGCATCAGCAGAAGTTACATTAGCTTTGTGCAGTGTAAAAGGTGAAATGATAAATCTGAGAAAATAGATATGAAATGATATGCTAATGCAGCTGACATTAAAGGTTAGAAGTTCGTCTGTCTAGCACCAGTAAATCCAATTGTGTTCCACTGTATTATACATGCTGCAAACGAATATAAATGATGCACTGAGATCAGAGTTGCACCAAAGGGGAAAAAGCCACTCTAAAATTGTAGCTCCATTGCTATGACTCAAAAAAGGAATCATCATCTGATAGAGGAATAGTGTTTGATAAAGTAAGTGTGAGTAATGAGAGAGACTGAATATGAAGCACTGAGTGACACACCTTTTAGTTCAGTGTTCTGTCACTCATATATGCACCAACTTAACAAAGGGATCCACAGTTTAGCATTCTGGTGACATTTCTGGAAGATTATTAAGAACAAAAATACTGGAGAAGCTAAATGCAAATTTTTCATTTTGAAATTACCTATCTTTTTCAACAAAATTTGTTACGTGCTCTTTCAACAAAATTATATAAATATATTTTTTAAGGCTTCAGGAATATTTTGAATGGATTTTCCTCTTTTTTTTTTTTCTTTTCATAGGTAGACTGGATTTTAAAACTAAATAAGTTCATTTTGTTGCAACAGGTACTTTGAGTAATTTTCTTTAATTTTAGTATACACAAAGATTTCAGAGAGGCATTGATCATTGTCTTGAGAACCCTCTAAAGCAAAGAGTATTTATTTATTTTTAGATAATAAGGCCATTTCCTGTCAGAACTTGAGTTTAAATGTAAACAAAAATTATATCTGCTATGTAAAGCCAGAAAAACTGTCTATTTAAAAGATGAGTATTTCTGTGAGCTACAGGTGTGTGCTTTTATAAATAGCTTGCAATGAGAACTGGATGGTGGACATTCCATAATTTCCATTTATTATTTTCCCTATCAAACATCTATACCTATGAGATATAACCCTGTATTAGTTGATACAGCCATATCTTTATGTGCACCCGTCTGAAAGTCGTGGAAATGGGCCCAAAGCTGATCCCTAGGTTTTGTCTGGCCCAGCATCTATCCCAAGGCTGAATCAAGTGGCTAAAGGTCTTCTTCAATTCAGATTTGAAAAGTCTCCCAGGAAAGAGATTCCATAGAAACATTTCTGTCTGGGCTAGATTTTTCAGTGTTCTAAAGCACTCTTGTGTAGTGCTTTCATTATTTGTAGATATTTCATTATATATATTCCAAATTTGTCTAGGTGTAACTTGTGTTTGTGCCCATCAGCTTTTGTTGGACGTCTCTGAGGGGATGATGCACTGAAATCAGAGTTGCACCAAAAGCCAGATGCACTGGCTTCTTTTTTTTTTTTTTTTTTTTTTTTTTTTTTTTTTTGG